TGTAATGTACAGTCGTTCACATTCTGTATGTGTCGGTTGTTGTTTGGTATGAGAATTCATGATCTTGTTTTTCTCCCCTCAAGCTTTAGACAGCATCTCGTCTTATGCTACTTTAAAAATAACATCTCTGATCTTTTGAGATGTTGTGGGCCGAGGTTGCTCTAACAGAGTTGCCATGGAAACAGTGGCCATCAAGCTACCATTTCACTATCTACCTCTAGGTAGAAGAAAGGCTGTAATGAACAACTCTTCTCCTCCTCCCCTCTGCTCTACATCTGAGTTAAGATGGTGGGGATTTGTGGGTGAATCAATGCATGATTGGAAAAGAAGGAATGAATATGGCTCAGCTGCACATACGTCACTCATACAAATGCGGTACATAAAGACACATATATACATACATTATATAAATGACTCACTCCCGTTTCTCATCACCCTCCTGGATGTATTTCCTGAGCTTTAACTCTTCCACATTCATCATAACGACTCTGATAAAGCCAGCTGAGAGGCTGCTGGTTCGTAACTACAGAAACAAAATCTCCAGGCTCGATTGATCGGCGGGGGTGGCTAAGGGCGGGGGATAAACACATCACTAGTTATTCTGATACATGCGGAAAGGAAAGACAAATTCAGATGTAGTCAGAGCTGGTCACACTGCAGTAATGATACCTTAGTCGCCGACCGCTGCAGGAGAAATGCAGAGAGATGAGGTCACCATCACTGGTCAAATAGAAATTCTGAATCAACCAGGATTGAAATCTTATGGATTGCCAATTCAAGCTTTAACATTAACAAAACATGAGATGCTTACACAATTGAATGTGTAGCTCAAGATGCAACTGGTAGTTCGCCATCCTTTTAGCTTGTGACCTCACAACAAAAAACAGTGTCTAGTTGGGGTCTCTTGTCATGCTTCAGATGTTAATGAGTTGTTAGCAGATCTGAAACATTTCCCCTCTAAACTTCTCAAATGGTTTCATTTAAATAAGTGTTTCATGGACAAAGAGGCAAAATGAGTTTGTTGAATTAGTTTATTGTAAACTAATAAACAAATAAAACCTATGGGCGTTAGGTTAGCACAAAGAGCCCTAATATCTGCTCTGATGCAAGTAACCTAGTGGAGAGGTGTTCTTTAGCATTCACTCCATCTCGGTGACAGAATGCTCCAAATCACCCTCAATCAGAAAAGGGTAAGCCAGCAATGAATAAGAAGAGTTTCTGGCTGACAATATCTGCAGAAATGAGGTTTGCGTTACATGGAGGAAGGATCAGAATACCCCGACTGTGCAGTTCCCCACTCTTAAGCGCTACAGCATCAGACCCTGATTGGCCAAAAGGTGAAATGCACGCAGCTGCTCTCAGTTCTTAATCAGGCACAACCCCACAACCTACACAACAGGTGATCTGAATAACACTCCAATCAACTCAAGAAAATTGTGAGATTCAGCGAAAATGAATTGGGAAGCAACAAATGTCACAGTTTAACAACTAGCTGGTGAACATAGTGGAGCATTTAACAGCTAAAAGTGACTGAATAACAGACAAACATTCATCAGGTGGACAAAAACATGATTAAAAATAACAGCTGGTGTTGTTCCCTATACCTGCTGGATGTGTAAAAACTTAAAAGGAGACAACGTGTCAATGCTGTGTTCACAACTCGTTTCCTTTATCCCAAACTGGCCATTGTTATTACAGGTTTTAAATATCTGAATCTGAATGATTATTCTACTTCTGTCCTTCATAATCACAGCTGAGCTTCACGTCGGTTGGATGAAAATGCATGATATGCCATATCCCGAACAAGCCTGGGGCAAAAAGAAGAGGGGAATCAGGAGAACATGGAGAGAGTCAAAAGTAAAAAAAAAAAAAAAAAGTTATAAATAAAGGAAGGTGGGTCCAGTGGAGGAAACATGATGTGCTGCTGTGTGGGGAAAGTCTGTGATGGGCTTGTTGTGATGAAGGGTCCTGGTGCAGCAGGAGCTGCAACCGTCAGGCTGGAACTATGTTCGACAGGAGCAAAGCGTCTAAGAGGGGCCAACACAACCTGCCAGTACCGCTATGGGGGGGCTGCAAAGCTTGAGGAGAAAAATTGTTGAGAGAGGAAACACACACACACGTACACACATGCACACACATGCATACACAGTGAGTGGACAGATGGAGGTACACTCACAAACACACACCAGCGTGCCTGTGCGGTTATACTCGCACACATTCATGCATACACTGCGGGGACACGGTGGCGAGTTCATATCAGTGCTGCTGTGACCTCTGCACACAGAGAGGCTGCCAACTCACTCTGACCCATCTTTATTCAGTTATGATAATGCCGTGTCACACAGGTACAGATTATGTTAAGGTGTCTGAGGGGAAAGCTTAAATAGGATGAGAGCTCTCAAACTGGGAGTGTTACCATGGAGAGCGTGCTGCCTGAGACTTCATCTGCTGTGATTCTGAGATGCTAAAGCCTACAGTGGAAGATATATGTAAGAGTCACACAGGACTGCACCAAATCACATTATTTTGTTCGGTCATCCTCTGCTTATAATACAGGGCAGGACAGTTTAGTCGTCAGAGTTTATAATTTACTTTTTTCCCTTCCTAAATCTTTACTGATTGTGTCTTTACATGTCACTAAAATGTACTTTGTCCACTATGATTTTGTTTGAGGACATAAGCTGCCACAGTCAGGTCAGATATTCACAATATAACAGTCCTTTTTCTGTATTTTCTAGCTCATTAATATCGTTTGTTTTACTGACAGCAATGCAGATGTAGAGGCCCTGTGGAGCAGAAGACTAGAGTAGAAGAGTAGACTACATTATTCTTTTCCTGTCTGGTTCTGCAGCAGTATTGGACTGAAATAAGTAAAGTCGGAGTTACCATTTTTCAGTGCACACTCCTTTTTGGCCCAAAGCAATTATTACTTGGCAGAACAGCACAGCCAGTCTCTTAACAAATTGATATGTATCTACTTAGAATTTAGAGTAGCGGCACTTAAACAGATAACAAAAAAAACAGGCTGAAACCACAGGCAAGTAAGCAAATGAAAAGACGCAATTAACCAAATCTATTAAATGTAGATAATAAATCACTGAGTTAGGAACCTATAGTTGAACTGTTTGATGTGAGATGGAAGAAGAAACCGAAAAAAAAAACATTGTACAAAAATGCTGAAGGCAGAGATTTATATTCAGAAAAGAGAGCTCGTTGAGAGTCAGCAATGAGTTGTGTTGCTTGCTACGTGACTGCCTGTATGGGCTCATAGTCTTTGTTCCCTCTTACCTAGTGACATACAATGACTTGTAGCTATGAGCAAGGCTGGATTAATGACCTGGCAAAGTGTGCAACTGCCTCAGGGGCCCCAAAACCCTCGGATCCCAGACAGATGCGGGCATATTGGTAAACGGTAAATGATGTGTCGATGTGTATGAAAGAGTTTTAATAATTGTTAGTTTTGGTTTATGGGAGTCTAAAAAGGGAACCTAATTATTTCATTATGTGTTCTTCAACCACGGACAGGCATTGTTATCTGCTAGAGGGGTTAAACTGTGAAGAGCACATCGCTTCACACAAGAGCACTCTAGACAAACGATTTATGACACATTTCAGGTAACACAGACAAATGCAACGTGTCTGACACTTTACAGTCTTTGATTCTCAGTGGAAACATGTTGCAAAATGTCTTACGTCCTGTGTTGAAACAGACTTTGACAAGCAGCAAGAATGCGATAATAAAAGTGTTTTTTTTTTTTTTAAAAGTAAGTTGAACGCGGACACGTTTTATCACAGAGCTTTCAGATGTACTGCAAATTCCGGTGTAACTGTCAGATACACAGTATCCAGAAGTGAGGAGGGGAGAGGTTAAGGCATGTTCTTCATCATATTTTATTATAGTGTGCGAGTGGGAAATTATATTGCTCAAGATGGAGAGTGCCCTATAAGAAATGTGCATATTATATGCGTGTACAACAATGCATACTTATGTGTGAATGTCCCCTTCTGTGGATTGATTATCTGTGTGCTGCATTATCATTCAACACACACACACACACACAAAGATACATGTGCACGGCGATAGTGCGAATGATCGACTCAGCGAGGGCAGGAAGCAGGAGGAGAGAAATGCAGGAGAGAATAGTCGAGGAGGAGGAGGGGGGAGAGGGAGAGGAGGAGGAGGGAGAGGAGGATGTGACATGATTTAGAATGAGATCATTAACCTTGAGAAACAGAATGGGCTTTGCGACATAAACACTATCTCTCAGACGGACACCTTGCTAGAACAATAGCTTGTGCACACACAAGCATGATACACTCATGAATGCTCAGAAAAACACAAGCAGGCGAGGAGGCGTGTACGTAAAAGCAAGCATGTGCACACATATATACACACACACACACACACACACACACACTTACAATGTGATCCCTGAAATAATCCCTAAAAAAAGTCATCAGCTCTGTCCCAAATACTACCTACTATATCTAAGCAGGTTTTGAGTGTGTAGTGCGTTCATTTTGGAAAAGTGACGACAAAAATAAAAAGGAAATTCGGTACGCTTACTAAAAGTGATTTGTAAGTGGGCTGTTGATGGACACTATCGTCCCACAATGCAATGCACAAAGCAAATAGAGGAGCTGATCACAGCTACCAAAAATGAAAATAAAACTGCCAACATCTTCAATGTGCGGTAACCTTCCAAAGTTGCCTCATTTCCTGTTGGTAAATATATAGATGATTATGTATAGTGGAGATGGGAAAGATCTTCAATGTGAACAGCGTGCAAGCGTTCACAAAATCAAGACAACTGTACGATTACAGAGATTATTCAATTGCTTTTGCTAAATGCAATTGTAATGTTTTCTTAACGTCTCATGTGTAATATATTCATATGCTTCTGTAGAGCGCTTTGAATAATCCATGTGTCTGAATTGTGAGGACAGCAAAATCACACTTTAATATTCAACAGATCCAGTAAAGTAACTCAGTCAGTTGGTTATCACACAATCCTTATTTATTTGTCCACAATCTTTAATCCATTCTACTCTCATTATTTAGTATGTAAATTATATTTCAGTTAATTTGCAGGTTAAGCCAGAGAGCGAAAGCTTCTCCCTCTGTCAAATCCAGCAGTAAACATCTACCATCACACTCTCACTAGATACAGATGAAAAGAAAAACACATTCATTAACTGGCACAAAGGCTCATGGGATACAGACGGCCAAAAAGCCCTTTCAAAAGTGCATTATACAGCAGTCATGTCGCAATGCCTTTTAATAGAAACTCCCATTCAACAACAATGAAACAGACAAATATCGACCCCCAATATTTTTGGCAATATGTCATTTGCCATTTTTCTTAATCTTCTTCCTAGTGTCATGTTCAAAATACAATTTACAAAATGGTTTTAAAATACTGGAAGACACTTTTTTAATTTGAAATTAGTTGTTGAAAAGCGCAGCAATGTTTCTGTATATCCAAGTCAGAATCATCAAAATGATGAGTGAAGACACAGTTGAGGAAAAAAAAAAAAGTACGTTTGAACATTAAAGCCTTCAAATAAAAAGATCCATATAAGACAAGTATAAAAGTGATTTTTTTAGACATGTATTATTTGAAGGCTGTATGCTGAGATTCACAATACCTTTTGACACACTGCAGAACATCACAAAACACCTGTATAAAAGAACAAACGTCTCTTCCCGTCTGGAAAAGCATGCTACAAAATAAAAAGTGTTCTTATTATAATCATGTCTTGTTTCCAAAATAAACATTTTATCATATAAACGGCTTTTTGTATGTCATGAGAAAATGTCATTTCAGCTTCTATCTTCCCTAAGTGTATTACAAAATCTTCAATCTGACGATTCAAGTAACAACTAAATATTTAAAACACTAAAACCTACATTTTGATATGTGCCCCCCCCCCCGCCCCCTTTTTTTCTACCCTTGAGTTTTAAATCTGGGAAATATGTGCACATTGTTAGTGTTTGCATGCATAGAAATCTTCAACTGCAATCATTAGAACTGCATTCAATTAAAGCCTGTTTCCTGAAGACAACTCAAACCGAGTGATGTGGCGGTTTTGCAGTCTTGCTACTTCCTGTTCTGCTTCATCATGATCGCAACACAAGAACAAAAACAAAACATTTCTTGCAATTTCAGACAGCTGAGAAGGCAACAATCGTTAGATACCGTACTGACTGGATGAGCATGAACTTTGAAACAAAGTGTCTCCACCAATGATTGTTACATGAAATACTAACCAATGTGCTAATGGAGCATTTAAGCAAGTAGAAAATAAAGTTACATTTTTCAAACTTAAAAAAAGTATTGATTGATTAGAGATTTAGATGAACCGTCGTTAGTGTGGTAGTTCTCTGGTAAATAACTCAAGGTGTATTAGGCCATTGTGGGTAATGTTGCAATCAATAAGCAGGATATGATTCATGGGAATATTGTATCTTTATATGTGTTTGTAATGAGGAATGTAATGATTTGTCACATATTCACAATCATATCCGATTCCCTAGATACTTTAAAGCAGACCTTTCTGTCTGGTTCTTTTAATCATAAATATTTTCTCACTTTTCAGGGAAATTTTTTTTTTAAATCATCATGAATATTGATATGACAACATAAAATGACACATAGCATGATAGAGGAAATGTATTTTCGTCACTGTGCAAAGAGCACATTAGTCCCATTTTAAAAGACAGTAGTCTGACTTCATGAGACGAGGCAAATAATGGGAACAAACAGTGATACATCAAGCAACTGCGCCTCGTGCTAACGAATAAAAACGCAGCTTTACTTCTGCAAGGATGCAGTTAAACAAATGTTGCCAACAGCAGCTACACCTGTTGGCGCTGAGAAACCTCTGTTTGCACAGGCAAAGAAGTCGTTCTCTTTCAAATACGCAACAATCCTCCAATCATCTCAGAGTGACCTTTGATACCCTTAATGTTGAATTTAAACTACAACGTCAGGCTTTTTTAAAAGTGCATGCTCACATTCAATAATGTAACATTGTTTTACTTTTCTTAAAATGCATCGAGGTTGGTGGACTCTAACCCAGATGCCTTGAAACTATGTGAATGAGTTTAAACACCTCGTCTGTTACAACAGTCAGTGTCACACCTGCTTCTCCTCCTCCCCGTCACGTTCAGAGGAGGTCAGTTCCATCATAGACGACAGGCTTGTCTAGACTCAGATGATACATCACTTTCTTTGAGATGAACCTTATTAACAGGAAAAACAGAGGATTTTTTGTTAAAAGTTTGCTCCTTACTTTCTAGTTTAGTAGAGGTCTATGCAAATATAGCGGTTTGTGCTAAAGAGCTGACAGGATGTCTTACAAATACACAAAGTTCTCACATGGAGCACACAGGGACTGACCTGGAGAAAGAGTTGTCAAAGACAAGTGTGTACTCTCCAGCGTTTCTGACTTTCAGTTCCCCCTGGATTGTCTCTCTCTGGGAGTTACAGCGAGTCAGCGGGATCAAGACCTGTGGAGAGCAAAGGATAGAAATCTTGTTTGACGTTAAGGGTGTCAGGATTAACCGATTTTGCCAGCAAGACTTTACGAGACGCGTTGTTTGTGTGTGCTGTGAAATCTCTCCTCTCAATATGCAATATGGAGATTGGCCTTAATGCTTTCTAGTTGCCGATCCCTGATAATGTTACAATGTGAACAACATATCCGTGTTAAAATCAGCAAGAGAGCTAGCTAATGTTAGCAGCAACAGCTAACAGCTGAAGATAGACACTAGAGAGTGCCAATGCCAAGTATGTGTGTATTTATTTAAAAAGCACTATTGATGACTTTAACAAATTAAAGGGATATAGTTGATGATGATAAATATTTTAGTTCATGAGCTATATATCTATTAAAACTATTCTTAATTAATTCTGAAAACTGTGATAATTCCCGACAATAATTATGATATAAAGATGTCATATTGTGATATCCCAATGAGATATTGATAATTAAACAGAAAAGAAATATACTGTAAATTTTAGTTACCTTAAATCCTTAATTAATTCCACAAATACTGCATTTTGCTGCTCTTTTGTTGACTTTGGAGAAGTGTATCTGCCCTCGTTCCCTCTATTCATATACTGGTGTCTCACCTTGGCCTGCTCCAGCGGGGTCTCTGTACTCTCCCTGTAGACCACACTGAAGGAGATGCTCTTCGGTTCAGAGGTGAACGTCCAGGAGACCGTAGGACCAGGACTACTCATGGAGATGGGGATGGTGCTGTAACAGCTGGACTTGATGAAGAGCTCTCGAGAGCTGTCCCCAAACCCTGAGATGTCCTCCACTGTGAAGAGGACGGAGAGCCTACAGCAGAGGGAAGTTCACGTGTTGTCGTAAAGTGTTTGTATAGCTGTGTATGTGTATGTGCTTGGGGCGAAAAGAAGTGATGCAGCAAAACCAGAGATATCGTCTTTTCTATCCCATGTATTCCTCCTTGTCAAAACCTGGCGCCTACATTACCCACAATGCAACCCAAGCCCTGACAGTTCAGTTGGTAGTTCAGTGTTGTTATCCTAGAAGGGGCTAATGTAGCTTTAAGCTGCTAGCCTCAAGTAGAGATGAGCAGCAGGCTACAGAGGTCTGGTAAGCTCACCTCTTTCTAACTCCACACCTCCATATTTTTTTTTGCACAAAAGGCTTTTTGGAACTTTTTTCACATACATTATTAGACCCATAAACAGACTTTGAAGTGTAAAATCAATGGCGTTCCACTTAAAAATTTACAATCTATTCTAGTTTTGGGGGATAGGATTTAGTGCTTTGTTAAATCAGGTACTTGATGACACAAGGCTTTGAAGCTTTCTCTGAACAAAACTCCTCCCATTTACAAAGGAATTTAAACAGAGGTCCAAGTACCAAGTAACATTTAGGGAACTTGTCCATGCCACTCATGAATTCGCTTCAGGTTTCACTTCCCATTTTGAGATTCAGTGCAAAGTTTTCACCAGAAGAATACATTAGAAACTCCCTCTGAAAGTTCAAAGTCTAACCTTGTGACTGCGTCCATTCGTAAACACAACTCGGGGGTTTTTGCCAGTGTAACTTTCACTGCATGCGAAACTCACGTGAGGTCTCCAGACTTTAGCAGGCAGATCTCTGCATCCTGTACTGCAGAACTGAGGTCATCAGTGTCATCTGATGTGAGGTCTCCTGCACTGGCACTGCTGTTCCTACAAAGAGTGATGGATATTCTACACTTACATAATGTAGACATACATTTGTATCACCCTAATCCACTGTAATTAAAAGGTAGAATACAGACAGAATCAATCAAAGTGAACTGGAAAAACTCATCCTCCTCCTCATCAGAAATACTCAAAACAGTATTATCCATCTCTAGAAAATGGAAAGGTGTCATACAACACATAGCATCTGTTATGCCCACTGACTTTACTCTGGCCTCTTTTTGGAAGAGAGCTGTCTCTGTGTTTCAGCTCTGGCACACCCCCCCTTCAGTGCCTGGAGCATCCACAAAGTCATCAGTCTGTCAGTGGAGCTGGATATCAACCCCCAGATCCAGTGCTTCTGCCCCTTTTTCTCTTGGCTGTCGAGCTGTTTGTTGGCTTCTGCTGCACCTCTGTTTGGGTTGTTCCTTGGAACAGGTCTATGTAGTTACCGTCTGTCTTGGCTGGCTAGTTGTTGGGGAGTTGTTTGGTAACCAGTGCGGATAACTTTGGGGAAGCCGTGTCGGGGTTCTCTGCCAATTAGTTTGTCATTTCTGTTTTCTCCTGTTTTGGGGCCAGTTAGGGAGCTCAGTACTGTTTTTCTGTTTGTTTCTGTAGGACAGTTTGACTCCTTATGTTATAGTCAGTGAGGGTTTTTTTTTTATTAGTTTGGCCGTAGAGACCCTGATGTCCCTGCTTCCATTTTAATTGGATTATTTCTGTAAATCATTTTATCAATAAATGTTACTCAAGTGTTCCAGCTGCCTTCTCTTTTCATTTTGTTTACATTTTTGCAAAGGTTCTTCAATAACTAGCTATGTTACTTCCTGTGAACCCCTAGACACATTAAATAGGCCGTAACAGCATTAAAAGCAAGAAAGTACACACGCAGTAGGGCTGTACAGTAAATGCCAAAATGCAAATATGTGCATGTGTTATATGACATCTTTCAAGCAATGAATGCAGAAAAATGTTAAAGCTGAAAAGAAAATGTAATTGAAATGAGTTCATTTAATTTTTCAAGATCATGCTCCAGAATTTATTTTCATTATTGCAAACATTTCCAGTTTTTTGACTGTGATGGGCTGCAGAACTAAATGTGGAACAGAGTGAACAGTTTGTTTTGAGAGTGGCATGTTAATAAAAAAAAATCAATCTCTGTGATTGGTATAAAATATCTCATGTGTTGGTTCACTGACTCCCTGCGCTGCACTATCAACTCCCCCTGAGAGTGAATGCATGTGAGATACTTACAGTTGTGCTGCCCCCTGCTGTCCGTGTGCAGGAGAGCAGGCGGTGGCAAAAGAGAGGGAGTCACTGTCATAGACCCCGCTCACCTCCTCCTCTGTGATGATGTCAAAAACACCATCATTCAGCTTGTCACCTTCATCTGCTCCTAGAAAATAAACACATTTTTCAAACATGTATTGCTAATATTTATCTATTTATTGTTTACTCTATTCTTACTGCACTGTGTATGCTGTTGACAACACAACACAATTTTAAAGTGTGCATTTACTTCAGCATTTGACACACTACGTGTGTGTGTGTGTGTGCGTTATGTTACCTGAACCACTCGTCACAGCCCTCCCAGCCTGCAGCAAACGACTGAAAGGCGTCCCTGGTGTGCTGTGAGTCACTTCCTCCTGTGGGTGGCGCTCAATTACTGCACTGTGCTGGTTGTAACAGTCGCTGCAGCAGCGCTCTCTGTGGCCGCCCTGCTGGGTGCTCACTGTGTTACTGCAGCAGTAGTAGCAGAAGGGACGCCCACACAGTCTGGGAATACACACGTTGGGATTGAGATTCAGTAAAAAAAATTGCTTATCATTTTTGAAACGTATATTATTATAGTGCAGAGAGGATTTAGTATGAAAGAAAGTAAAGCTTTTAAAAGAGAGATACATTAATAAAACAAGTCAATACACAGAAATGCATCAGAAAATTAACAACTGCTATTTTTGTCAAGAAATTGCCACTGATGGACATGCATTTAAGATGCTGTTTTAAACATTTGTGATATCTAGCAGTAAGTTGTCCTTCCAGTGCTGCATTAAGTTCCAATACAGGTAGCGATTACACTGCTTCTCTAATGAACTGTGTTACTCTCAGACGTGTTCATCAACATGCTCATTGTGTACTGATACAACCTGACAAACATATATGGTTTATATATTTAAGTAATCTAGAATTGGTTACAGAAGAATGTTGAAATGCACTTAGTAAGATGTTCATCCTTTAATTTTAGTGCAACATCACATGCTGTACAAATACAATAATTCATGTATTTTTCGGTATTCAAAAGCACCGACACGACATGGAGTAGGGCTGTGTTTGAGCAAGAATCTGTCAATGCGATACGTAACACGATAGAAGGGGTTCCAATTCAATATATTGCGATTTTGAAAATCTAATTTAAGGAAAACTGTCATAGTATGAAGAACATGTGCATGAAATCTACTTTTCTATACAACCAGAACAGCGGGATCTGCATGGGCATTTATCACAGTCTAAAATCAACATCACAGCATTGTAGCAACACTGTATTGTGCTTTGACAAATACCACTCAATTGGCAGTGGAAGTTATCTTACTTCACTACTGGGTTGAAGTTGGTAAGTCGAAATGGGAAGTGAAATACAGAAGACAAATGTCATTGGACTTCAGTTCCTGTCACATTTCACCATCTTGACCGAAACAATCACAAAGGGAAATGGTTTAAAAGTAGTGACATAGACATTAGTGTCATTGGTTTACCTGGTGACATATCTATCATAACGTAAAGTATATTTATTTTGTATATTTACAGAGGACCATCTGACCTGCAGTTGTGCTTGCGGAGCCACCAGCTGAACTGACTGTGACAGCCCAGACAGTAGTTGACGTCCCTCTCCGTCTCCTCATCCCGCAGTTTCTGCTCAAACTCCAGGGCATCGGACTTCTGCCACAGTGCATCTTTCTCCCTGCAGAGAGCACCATCAAGACCATTTGCAAATGCACAGTATACTGCAAAATACACAATGTAGATGGTTTGTTTGTGGCCATTTGAAAACCCAAACCCAAAGACATTACGCAACAAATGTAGGCATCATGTCTCAACCCTGCGTTGTGCAGATTTAAACCAAATTAACCTCACTAACAAAAAGGAAAACAAAGACACAAACAGAAGAAAACCAACATGGTATGCCATGGTAAATCTGAGTAAATCAGTATGCTTATACCTGATTAGTTCTACGAGCCTTTCCTCCAAATTGATTTTGGTGCGGTAAAGATCATCGAGTTCGGCAGACGTCTTAAGATCGAAGCTCTGTTTGTCCTGTGTGGCTCTCCGTAGATTTTCACTCATCTCCTGACAGGTCTGCTGAGCCGCTGTCAGGCCATCCTCAGACCTGCATCCATACAAACACACAGGCCGATTCATGAACATGAGGAATCTCTGGTGACTGCGATTGTGTCCATGCAGTTTGTATTTTTAGACCCGAGTTTTAAAAACAATACAGAACAAATAAGACAAATTCCTAGATGAGGCATACTAAATGAAAAATAAACATTACAATCCAAACCCACAAGATTAAAAACATTTTTCACAGAGCTCTAATTCAGACCAGAATGTGTGCTTATGAATACAGTATCTCACCTTGATAAATTTCCTTTCAGATGGATTATCTCGTCTTCTTTCTGCTGGATGAGATTTTCAGAATCGGCCATCTGGATGTTTTTCTCCTCAATCTGTTGGCAATATCTCTGATTCTCAGCCTGAAACCAGTACAGCAAAGCAAGACATTATTTCTGGCTCTTTGCAAATCATTCCTGTGACCATGATGTTATGATTACTTCAATTGTCGATATACACAATGTAACTGGTTTCCATTATCAGTCCGAAACACGCAGAACTGTACAAACATGCATTTCAACCAGAACTTAAAACATCCTTGGACTACTTTAGTGATACTATGGGGGCCAGATTAACCTGCTAATGATAAACCAAACTGACAGATCTGGAATCAGTGTGTCCTCTCACCTCTAGCTGTTTGAATTTGTTCTCCAGTTCGACCACTTTCTCACGCTCAGTGGTCAACTTCAATTTCACTTCTTCCAACTCTTGAGTCACAGTCTGGATGAGAATACAAATTCATCAAATGACAGTAGCATTGCTGATATTACCTTGACCATAAAACAATCTAGCAGTGTTATTAAATGCACAATAGCAACCAGGGTACGCACTGTAGTAACCTGGTTATTGTAAATCCCTGTTTACATGTAGCAGGACAGCAATCCAATTTTTCTTAACAACACAAATGTGCTTTCATTTTATGGTCCAATGTTCAGGATTGGAACAACTGTAACCGGGTTACTTAAGTGCATACAAACACATTAAAGCATGCTTCATTTCTTTAGCTGTTTGTGGCTGACCTGGAGCTGGCTGCTGTGGCTCAAGGCTTGGCTGCTGACCTGGAATCGGATAGCCTGGATCTCCTCTTTGCTAGTCTCCTGCACAGCTCCAGCCTCCTCTTTGGCCTTGCTGAGCTTTTCCTGCAGCTCCTGCTTGGTTGCCAACAACCCGTCTTCGTTATGGAGCTGATCGAGCAGCCGCTGGTTGTCCTGTCTCAGCTGCTCCATGTAGGTATTCAGCCTCTCCGTCTCCCGAGCCGCCTCCTCGTCCAGCTCTTGGAGCCTTGTTGACAAGCCCTCCCAGCGCAGACGAGCCTCTTCGTTCTCAGCAGTGAGCATACACACATGCACGCCGAGTTCAGCTGTTTCTGTGTTGGCTCTGTGGAGCGCCTCCCCGGATTCACTGATCTCCAGACACAAGCCCTCGTAACGCAACTTCAGTTTGTTGAGCTCCTCTCTGGAGGCCATCACCTCCGCAGCCAGACCTGCTCGAGCCTGAGCCTCACCGTCACGCTCCCGGATAAGAGCCTCTTCTCGCTCCCGGGATCGGAGAATCTCATCCACATGCCGGCGGTTCAGCTCCTCCACCTGGGCTTTGAGTTGCTCTGCTAAGACACGGAGGTCCTCCCTGGAGTACTCGGTCACCTCCTGAAGGGCCTGAACCTTCATCCGCTCCTCAGCTCCTGCTAGAAGCTGAGCCCTGAGCTCCATCAGCTCGTCCTGGAGCCGGTGCACCTCCCTTAGGTTGAGCTCCAGCTGAGCCTCAGCCAAAACTAGCCTGAACGGGGCCTCTTTGGTTTCCACTAAGGATTTCTGATGCTCATCATGAAGCTTCTGCATCTTTTCATTGCTCTCTGCAGCTCCTTTTTCGGCATGACGCTCCCCAGTCCTGCTCTCCAGCTCCTGTGCTCTAGCTTGCAGATGCCCACATTCGACAGTCTGGTCTCTCAGTTTCATCTCGGTTTCTTGGAGTTTTTCAAGTAACTCTACTTGGCTTCTTTGGGACACAATGAGGCTCTTGTCCAACTGCTCAGCTTTGGCAGTAAGTGAGTCCAGTTCCTGTTGAGTTGTGGCCGACCGTTTCTTCAACGAGGTCTGGACCTCAAGAAGCTCCCCGTTCTCATGCTCTAGCTTCTTTATTTGAGCATCACATACTTCCTTCTGGACGAGCGCCTTCTGGGCAATCTCCTCCAAATGCAGGTTTTCATCTAGAAGCTTCTTCTCCCTATCTTCCACACACATCTTTGCAGCCTCAACTCGGCCCTTTAGGTGCTTCTCAGAGGCCCTGAAAGAAGCTAGCTGGTCTAACAAGGCGGTCCTGCTCTCAGTCAGCTCTGTAATGCCCCCCTCACTCTTCTTAACTGTTTGGAGTAGCTTAGCATTTATTTCCACGAGATTGCTGCATTTGGTTTTGTAGTCCTTGAGGTTCTCAGAGGAAGCAACTTCATTATCAGCAAGTTGAGAGTTCAGACTTTCTTTCTCAACATTTAACTTCTCCAACTGCTCTTCAAAATGCTTGATTTTCTCTGAACTAAAGGCGAGCTCTTTCTCTCGTTTTTTTAGAGCCGTTCTTACATCCAGCAGCTGGCTCTCGACTTCCTCACTCTGGCTACTACTCACCCTACATATCTGCCCTACCTCGTCCCTCTCCTCGTGCAGTCTTTTCCTCAGGTCCTCCGCCTGTCGTTCTCTGCACTCCAGTGACGCTTGTAGATCCTGAAGCTGGGCTCTCAAGTTCCCCGTCTCTTTCTCTTTCAAACTCAGCGCCCCCTGAATTCGACCAACTGCACTTTGGAGCTCCTCCAACCGCTTGAGCGCCGCCTCACGTTCGTCATGGGCTCTGGATTTTACTTTAGCCAGCTTCGCCTCACTGTTCCTCAACTCTTCTTCCCTGAGTTTTAGTTCCTGGGACAGACGCTCAGAGTGCCTGGCCCTGTCCTCAGCCTCTCTCTTTGCCTCCATCCTTTCCTCCTCCGTTGTCTTGAGTTTATCCAGGAGTTCCTGGATTTTCCAGGCTGAGTCGCAGTAGCTTGTGGTTTGTTGTTCCTTTTCTTTAAGAACCTCGTCCAACTTAGAAAGAAGCTCCATATTTTTGTCCTCAGCAGCCGTGAGTCTGTCTTTAAGTTCCCCGATTAATTCTTCACTACAGGTTTGAAGGTGATTTGCTCTCTCCTGATGATCTATTTCTTGGTTACTTTGTGCTGCTGTAGATGCAGATTCACCAGAGCACTTCTGAGATGCTAACAGCTGGCCTTGAAGGTCCTTAACCACATCTTTTAGCTCAGCAGCCTCTTTCCCTAACTCCTGAACCCGTAACAGAAGCTCCTGCTGTTTCAGCTCGGACTGGTCGAGCTCAATGCGGAGGTTCTCTGCAATACTACAAGGAGAGGGTTCCCCCAGTTCCCCCAATTCACCAAGGAGACTGTGACTGAGGTCTGAGAATGGGACAAACTCCTGCACCTGGTCAGAGAATGGAACAAGAGAACATTAAAGTTTGAATGTCACATTTACTCAAATATTTGTGCAGAATTGTCCATGTTTAGTATGTATTTAGGTACCTGTGAGTAGCCGCTAACGAGACTGTTGATGCTGGAGCAGCGACTGGGAGGCCTCCACACAGAAGCTGCTGAGGCGGAACCTAAAGTTCGCCTTTGACATAATGAGATACCAAATATTAAGATCTTCAACAACTGGTAAAGACAAAGAGTAAGATAAACATGACATCCAACTGATAAAAAAACAAAAACCTTTACACAAAAGAGGAACTTAAGTTGACTGAAAAAAGTATTTAGGTAGCTCTACAGTAACTGTATTTTATGGGTCTCCTAATTTCCTCATATTTAACAAAGAAATTTCCCAGAAAGGACAACTTATACAAAAGGTAAATCAAGACAAAGCCCTTACACAGTATGAATACTAAGTACATACTAATTGTGTATGTTTTAAAGAAAGAACCAGGAAATGATGGAATAGCTAGAGAACGTAATAGGGTGAGGTTTTTATGTCGTTGCTGATTTTCAGAGGAACTTCCTTGAAAGAATTGCAAACAATTAGTGACTTAATGACTTAAAATTGTGTGTCAAATTTCATTCATTGGTTAAAACTTACAATACTTTATTTGTTAAAAAAAAATCTCCATATTTTTTGAATATGTTTGCCTGTAATTCAGAACTGCACATTTTACATTTCTGCATGTTCAGCTTATATCTTGTGCATCAATTATTACAAATTTAAATTAAATAAAACGTATTGAACATTATTCATTTTTACTATGCTTAGTGACAACTGAAATGTCACTGCATGTCAGAATGTACAAGTGCTTTCTAGGTAATTATTACCAATAATGTCATGTGATCAGATTTCCTCAAGCAAATTGTTGCAAAGTTCCCGTGGCCTGATTGCAACAACACCTTAACACATAATACTTTGCATTCAGACTTCACAAGAAAGTAGGTCAGTAACTTAAGTACGTAAGCCTACTCCTGGAATGCACGCTCGTATTTCTTCTGGTGAAGTGATGAAACTGTTTCCATCCAGTCATGATTCATGTTAAAACAACTAACTGGGTTTGGGCGGAGGTGTAATTTCAGGTTACTCATGGTAAATAGCAATTGGAACAAGTAGTTGTTAAAAAGAAATTACAAAAACACAAGGCACTTACACCATAACGTACATATACTTTATCTACACCGTACAATATATTCCTCTATAACAGCCCTCAAAAGAAATACTGCAATTGTGAATTTTATTTTCTTCATTCTTGTTCATAATGTGCGTGACAGGTGTTGATTCAACCCTTTCTCAGGTAATCTTCCGGACCATTGTGTTGTTCTAGGTGTTGCTGCACTGCATTACATTGTGAGATTTAACCAGTAAGCCCACTAATGTCATGCACAACAACAACACAAATTAGGCCTTTTAAAAAAAAAAACTGTGTCCGCTGCCTGTAGAGTGACTGCAAATTGATGAGAATGAAGTTTTGGCAAAGGTGCTGACGTGAGGAACAGTGATCAGCGCTCACACATTGTCGGCACCCACTGTCTCACACACACATTTATACACGCTTAAGCAGAAAAAAAAAAAAAAAAAAAAAAAAAAAGAGCTGTGAATGTGCAGAGTGATCAGATAATTAAGTGCTACTTCAAGTTGTGAAATACTCAATATTGCTTCACCACAATGCTGCATTAACTGCACTAAACTGGGGTGTTTTTCAAATGACCTAAGGTCTGTCTCCGATCAATTTACAAAGAATTTCCAACCCCGAGGCGGAAGGATTAGAAGCTTTTATTTCTTTTTTTTTTTTTTCATCCAAAACAATATCCAGAATCAACTTTGTGTTTTTCCTCAAAAGGAAAGTGTAAACAGATAATTGTCGGCATTTTTTTACCTCGCAAAGGTTGGCCAATCTGCATCCAGGTCGTAACCTCTGGCTGCCACGTCAAATTGGATCTGGTTGAGCTCATAAAGATGGTCGATTATGTCAGCAGTGACATGAGACTTAAGGAGGGGACTCCGGGCATAGTACCAGTCGCTGTGTGGGAAGAATAAAAACAAAAAAACACCAAACACAATGCTGAGGAGAAGGCGAACACACACACATTTATTTTTATTTGACAGTTTACAATGTTGTTCCATGTTGATTAGGCAACGAGATTTAACGTTATACTGTGCTATTCATGATGAGACCAAATAAAATAATAATCACTGATCACATGCAGCATAAATAAAAGCATGACAAATAAAAGGTACTATATAAACCGGTGATTGATGAAGTACCTTTCTGGGGGCTGGAAATGATTCATTTAAAAATCTTGATTCTTACTCATGACACTCAAATGTAAAAAATCTATTTACGACGTTCTTAATAAAGAAAGCCTAACTCAACCACAAGAGACAATGTGCAGCACTCACACTCTAGAGTTATATGGTGGTTCATCTTCAAAAAAGGCAAGCAATTGGGCGCAATTAAGATTGAACATAGCATCAAGACAAAAAAGTTTAACCTGGAGGAAGTTTTGAGTGTGCGTTAACTGGAGAGCAGAATAATTATTGTCCAATAAAGGCCTTGTTCTCGGCTACAGAGTTGAATAGATTTAGACTATTTAAGAATTGTTGACTATGACCTTTAATGAGACTGTTCCAGGAAATGTTCGGTTGAACACAAGGAACATTTAGAAATATATAATCAAAAATAAAGTGAAGAGATAAAGAAGTAGCGATAAATAACTCAAGGATTAGTTTAGGGACAATATGGGAAATGTGGTAATCTGCTTTCTTGCTGAGAGTTAGATGAGAAGTTTGATATCACTCTCATGTCTGTACGGACACAGCCCGGCTAGCTGTTTCCCCTGTTTCCAGTCTTTATGCTAAGCTATGCTAACCAGCTGTAGCTTCATATTTACAAACACGAGAGCGGTATTAAGCTCGTCATCTAACTCTTGGCAAGAAAGGAAATAAGCATATTTATCTTTTCTAAATACAAACATAGCACTTGAAAGAATGTAATTAAGTGTTTCAGGTTCCAGGAGTGTCTTTAACTTAATTTCCTTTTGCTCTCTTGAAATAGCAACGTAAATCACAAAAGGCTATCCTGGTTAAATGAAGCAGGAACTAAATTGACATTAGGTTTGATGAACGGCTGAGGAAGTGAGACGTGACTGTTGGTGTCTATGGTTGGACTAAGTGGCTGTTGTGTTTTCTGTGAAAACAGAAATAAGATGTTAATCAGGAAGGGAGAGTCGCACTTCCAAAACAAGACATCATCGCACCATAAAGCACAAACATGAAGAGTTCATATAGTATGAACATGTATCAGCAGCTTGAAGGAAAAAAGCTCTATCTATCTATATATATATATCTATGTATATACATCTATGTATATACATCTATATATACAGTATATATAAAACGTGGTTGTGTATAGAAGGAGTGTGTTCTCGCTTACCTTGTGGCCTTCTGGTTTACAAAACACTGCTGCAGTGTGTCAGCAAGACGCTGGTGAACGAGTGAGTAGCGGATGAAGGCCCTTCCTCTCCCCAGTGAGGTCTTCAACTGAGGACACACAAAAATACACACACACACACACACACACACACACACACACACACACACACACACACACACACACACAGACACACACACACACACAGACACAGACATTACCTCTCTGCAATGTGAACTGACCTCAGTAGTCAGTGTTCTCTATAGTCTAGTCAGTATCATACAGGTCAAACTATTTTTACATAAAGTGGCTCCTTTCTGAATAATCTCTACTTAAATGTGGCAACAATTACACTTGCAGGACATTAAAAGACGAGGAATTAATGATATCTTTCATCATTGATTAGTCTGGCCATTACTCTCTCTCGTAGTCGATAACAATTTGGTCTATAAAATGAAAGCCCAGGGTTTAAGATGACGTCTTCAATTGTCTTGTTTCCCCCCCCCCACCCAACAGTCCAAAATCCGAAGATACTGTATTTGGCTTACAATGAATGTAATGAGGCCATGGGAAAGTCTGATTTATTTGCTTGACAAATGACTCAAATGCAATTAAAATAGTTGTCTTTGCAGTGTCATCACTGCTCTAAATGTACAGTATCTGTCAGTACATCCAGACTCTCCAATACATTAGCAGATGGAGGGATTTAAGTAAGACAACAGACCCACAGATCTACCAGAAGGACACCAGCTGGAGACTGATTTACATCAGAGACTGACCGACAAGAAACAAGAAGAGTGAAAGAAAAGTAAAAGTAATATGCTCACAAAAATGTGGCACTCACTTATTACATATTTCCCTAATGAATGGAACAATGGCGCTGCACGAGAGCCCAACAATCATTCAATACTGAACTGAAGCACAAAAATCAATATCAGGTAAAAGACAAGCAACTAATTAAATATAGCACAATGAGGACTAGTTCAACTACAGTAATTTCAGTATGAAGCTCACCAACTGTCAATTCCCAGGCTAGAAGGTGAGGAACAAGGTATAAGGCAGCAAGTGAATTAGCAGCACAGAGTCTTACTGTGCCTGATTCACCTGAGGATTAGTTACATGGTTATGTGCATTCGTGTGTCTTCATGTGTTGCACGACATGGCAGTGCTGAGGCGACGAGGGTGGCTGTGTGTGTGTGTGTGTGTGTGTGTGTGTGTGTGTTGCAGAGGAGGATTACCTCAGCGATGGACTTAACAAAACGGATGCCATCATTAGCTCCCTTGATCTTAATCAGGCAGTCGCAGAAGTAATCCCAGTAGTCTTTCCTCTGACCAAGAAAGGTTGTCTTCTCTTTCTGGTCAAACTGAGAAAGAAACATTACCTCATTATTGCATAATTAATGTTACATATATATTATAAAATGTCTTCAGCAGTATGGATTGTACAAAAGGTTTTTTTCTGGCACGACCTTGTGTAAATATTTAATGTTAATGGTAGAAATTGTAATTAAAATGATTCCTATGAACTTCCTCCATGTTACACCTTTGTCTCTCTAGAGCTGTGGTTCCCAACCTGTGGGTCGGGAGACTTTCAAAGTGTCACAAGATGATTTCAATGGGTCAAATGTGCTACACACATTTTTATTTTTTAGTTGTGAAATACTCATAGCTTAGGTCTCTGTTAGAGAGACTTGAAGGAAAAGAAAATGACTCTTTTGTGTTTCAATTTAAAGGTTCACAACCCAAAAACATTGGGAATCACTGGTCAAGAGAACTGGTTCCCAGTGTTATTAACTTGTGACCTTTTGAAGCAAAGCAATCCTTAGTCACAACCCCTTTGTCACATACGTTTGAGATGTAGACAACTCAACCCAAAACTTGATGTTCGCTCCTCAGGTTGTTTCATTTGAGAAATGACATGATCATTTCGAAAACACAAAACCAGATCATCCTGATGAACTCTCAACAAAACATGTGTGACATCATACCTGTAGCAGGTATTCTAGTTTATAGAAGAACTTGTGCAGGTTGGCGCTGTCGTCGGTTACAGGTTCACCACACTCGTTGTGTTCTTTACTCAACTCAAACACAGCATCTGAACCAGACGGTAACAGCATTGTTAATACATGCACACACACAAATATCAAAATGTGTTCACACAGAAGCCAAAAAAAAAAATAGTAGAATCTGCAGTTTAATGCTCCCATACTATATTTTGTCAATCATTGATCTACATGCACAAAACATTTCCACATGAAAATCTATCATCGATCTAAGTTTTGCAGTTATTCTGGGAGCAAGATACTTTCTGCAGATTCTACTATTTTTTTTGCCTTGATACATCCTGTTTGGAGACACATACAACTTCAAAAAGTAAACAATAACAAGCATGCATTATATTGTAAGAGACTGTAAGGGATGGTGCTCATTGTAAGTGTGAACTAGTTACCATGCAGATCTCTGATTATCCTCTGCAGTTGATTGTCTCCAACTGATGAGGAGGAGGCCATGGTTGGGTACGGGCAGTTTACTCAGGAAATCTGCATGTAAGATGAAAATGACAGAGATTGTGAGTATTTGTGTAATAATCCTCATGATATAAACACTGATCATCATATCCCTGAATTGTCCAGGATATACCTGAGCCCAAAAATATAAATCGTAATTACAGCATGAGACTGTAAAAATATGCCAGAGCTGCTACTACATGGAGGTAAACACAAACATAGTGCATCCTAAACTAGTTTCACCCCTGCTGTAAAGTGTTATTCCATAAACACTACATTGTATTCTTTCCAAACCAACAAGTCTTAGACAAATGAGACAATGCTAATACCCCAGAGGGGTCCATGAACTTGTTAAGAGGAAGAAACCACAGTGACATTAGCTCAGAGAAGTTAGCAAACATTTGCCTACAGTCAGAAGAGGAACAACATTTGCATCACGACGAAAGACTGAAGCTTATCCCTGTTTGCAGCGACAGTATATCCTTGACAGGCGACTGACAACATGTTTTATGTATTGTTATCTACTGGCAGCACAACAAACAAGCAAAAATTAGTTAAATCACTTTCAAACGGCTTCAAAATGCAACAAACAGAAACATAAACATCGATTTGTCAAAGCTGGCGAGCGCTATCCTACATGCACCTGTTCCCAGCTCTTCGTTTCCTGGTGGTATTTTATGTAAATTTCTGTTACAAACCCTCGCAGTTTGGTTGTAAGTAAAGCGAAACACTTCAATATTAAATAAACAGTTGAATAATAAACGTACTTGATGTGTAAAACTGTCCAGAGTGTCCTATTTGTAGGTAATACAGCAGAAACTTGCTACCCGTTGAGGGGCGGGGACTGTGAATGATTGACAGGCCTAACGGATCAATGGCTTCAGCTGCTACTGCTGAAATCTGTCCTAGTTTGGTTGAGAGACAAATGATAAATAAACAGACTGAAGCTGAGACGTGTGTCGTGCTTCATGAAGCTAATATTTCATGGACTATATTATACCTGACATCCTTTGTTTATTATATATAATACTACGATGATTACACACTTAGATGGGAATTTTGATGTAAAAATATATTTTTGTGGACCAGTAAATAACTCATGGCATCAAGATGCATTGTATAATATGCAAAAACATATATCATGTGCTACAAAGGACACATCTAAATATTTATTTTTAATAGACTATAATCAAAATCTTTATTTAAATCACGTCTTTATTTTATTTTGTTGTTATTAAATAATTATGTTTTAGTTATCATTTTGTTATTGTGTGAATAATATTGAATACAAAAAAACAACAATAAAAACAAAATTAAAATAGAAACAAAAAAAAGATTCTCCAGGAGGCCGAAATCAGAGGACTGTTAGATAAAAAAAACAAAAAAACGAGAATTTCATCCTTGGCATTTTTCACCTTTTTGTGACAATATATATGAGACTCTCAAAATAATCTCAATGCCTCCTCCATTCTTGTTTGTAATCCTGGGTCAAAGTTGTAAGAAACTGAGAAAGTGCTTTACTGAAGTGTAACAGTTAATGTAACATCATGCAAAATGGAATATGTTTGTTTTTTGTTCAATTCGGAGAGTATTCAATATCGAAGAGTAATGGCCGCTAACAACAAGTATTCACGATTCAAATTAAAGGGAACAAGTCTTTTCACAAACGTCACTTGTGTAGGTGATTTGAAAATGAAGTTGAATTTCTGTTCACCTTTGTGGTCTATACTTAAGGAACAATTCCCAGTTCCAATGACACATGACACTTGCATGAAGGACTCTGGTGTGTGCAGATAGCCTGTAAGTTTCCACATTTCTCATTTATTTGTTGTAGTGAGGATCTGTCATGATACTGAATTCAAGTTTAGAATGTTTTGTATTTTGTAAAAAAGAAATTTTTACTGAAATTAAAAAAAATAACTGTCAGTGTAATACGAAAGATAGACATTAAAGTAGGAATGCTTTATCTCCTTATTTCAAGAATGTAGCTTTGAAGAAATCTTTGAAAAAATAATTAACTTCTCCCTTACCTCTTGTAGTAGCCATGCGGATAGTTATGGATTTATTTTGCTCGCGTTAGAGGCACTTGCCAATTATTTTAGCAGCAACGTTACTGCCAAAGAAACAGTTCCTTAACTGTACTAAAGTCTGTGGATAGTCCAGATTATTAATAACACTGTTGATGGAAAGAGACTGTTGCTGGTCAATTGTCCTGAAAACACATTATCTCAATCAGCTGTTTATGTTTTGGCATCCAAAATGAAAATATAATGTTCTGCCAAAGTTGGAACAATTGGTGCCACAAAAACTGGGCCCCCAGGAGGCAATGATAACAACAATACAAATAAGACTTTATGTTGAAATAAATAGTGCACGCATTAGAACACTGAATTTATCAATGGTACAATATGGTTTGAAGTCTTTGTTGATTTGTATTTTCCTTTGTTACACAAGGTCAGTGACTATTGGTCACATCAAGCTGAAAATCAGTACAATCAGTTATCATCGCAGCCTCATAACAGCACAAAGACAACCGCAAGGAAATCAAAATACTACTCGAAATACATATCCTGCTGATTTGAAGTGGGCATGGGTCAGCTGGATGAAGGTGTTGTCATGTATTTCTGCTGAACAAACAATATTAGACTTAAAATGTGAGAACAGTTGTGGGACTGTGTTGCCAACAGTGACAGAGGTTTCACGCACCAATCTTAATTAAGAACTATGTGCTAATATCATAATGAAATGTTTTTTTCTCTCTAAACTGTAACTTTGAGTGGTGTTTATTCAGTCATGAAAATTAAATGGTATGCAGGATTTTGAAGACAAGTTTCCAGTGCCTGTAAATATATATATATATTTTCAAAGTTGTAAGCACCACAAAAAAAAGTGTTGGGGCAAGAAACTTTGGATGAATATCTTAGAGTCTCAGCAAATAAAACCAAAGCTACCTACATGGCTGAATAACACCAAACACAAGTAAGAAAATTAGATTTTTTTGTAATTTGGGTAAATTGACCCTCTGAGATATAATGACCACATGTTCCAGACAAAAGTACGTCATGTATCAAGAGAATGATACAACAAGTTATTAACATGTTATTGATGAAGTGGTGACATAATTCTCTGAAGAACATGTTTCCAATGTAATCATCACATTCACTTCTGTATCATTTAATCTGTTGAATTGGATTTACCGCTCTAACAAAGCCTTTTTCAATTTAGACTTTCTCTTCTTGTGGAAATATGGCAACAACTGACTCAACCTTCGACGCAAACACAGACAATTATTTCAACTATGACTACGATGAGTACGATGAGGATGGAGATGAAATGTGCAACAAAACAAGCGTCATACAGTTTGGAGCGATCTTCACTACAGTGCTCTTCTCCATCGTGGTCATCCTCAGTCTGTTTGGCAACATCTTGGTCATTGTGATTCTGGCCAAGTATGAGAATGTCAAATCCCTCACCAACACTTTCATCCTGAACCTGGCTGTATCGGATCTCTTCTTCACCGCAGGTCTGCCCTTCTGGGTCTACGATCATATGTATGGATGGACTTTAGGGGAACATACATGCAAAATGGTCATCTTTGTCTTCTACGTTGGTTTCTATAGCAGTGGTATCCTCCTCATACTGATGACTGCCCACCGTTATGTAGCTGTCATGAATCCTCTGTCTGACATTGTGTCCACCACAGGCACCTACAGCGTCATAACATGTGTGATCATTTGGGCTGTGAGTACATTGGTTGCCAGTCCAGCCTTCATTTCCACCGGAGTGAACCAGAAACATTGTGGACATGCAGATTCTTACTGGAAGTTATGGGGAATCTATCAGCAAAATGTTCTCTTCATATTGAGTTCAGTGGTGTTCATTTTTTGCTATTCACAGATCATGTGCAGGTTGCTGCGTCCTACCGCACAAAGAAGAAAGAACAAAACTTTAAAACTCATTTTTACACTCACGGTTGTTTTCTTTGTGGGCTGGGCGCCTTACAATATAGTGATATTTCTAAAGTCGTTGTCTTTCGGGCGCCAAACAACCGTCGACTCAAAGACTTTGGCTGAAATGTGTGAAGCATCAAAACCACTGGATTACGCCTTTTACATCAGCCGACTTCTTGCCTTTTCACACTGCTGCCTCAACCCTGTGTTTTATGTGTTTGTGGGGGTTAAATTCAAAAACCACTTGAAGAAAATGCTGAAAGGCTGGGGTCACAGGAACAGCGGCATCCGCAACAGGCAAAGCCGACTCACTATCACATCGCTAACAAGTGGTGAAGAGTTTTCGATGTAGTTGATACAGAGAGCTGAAATGAAACCAGAAATACCGGGTTCTAAGAAAGAAGTGTCACGCAAATTCTGTCAAACCACGAAAAGTAAACACAAAATAAGTTGGATGAAAAAAATGCCGAATGAGACATTGCATTGACTTTGAACAGACGCTAGCCTGGAGATGTTTCTTTGCATGCTAACATTTACTAATTGGTACTAAACACAGCTGAAAAGGCTAATCTAAGACAGTGAACATAATAAGCATCATACCTGCTAAACATCAGCATGTTAGCATGGTCATAGTGAGCATGACGTTAGCATTTACCTCAAAGTCTAACAGAGCCACTAGCATGGCTGATTATATTATTCACTCAGTAGGCCTACCCTGCATAGTGGTCAAACTACAATAAGTTCCTTAATAGCTGACATAAACGCTGCAGCCTCTTTATTAGGTACAGCTGTACACCTGCTCGTTAATCAAAGTAAATATGAAATCAGTCGATGATGCAGGCATAAAAGCATGCCGACATGGTCAAGAGGTTCAGTTGTTCAGACGTCAGAATGAGGAACAAACGTGATCTATGTGACTTTCTGTGATAAAGTGATATGTACTGTACAATATTTCATGCACAATTGTATCCGATATTCCCCTCATAGTTTCCAATCAAACTGTGCTGTTATATGTTTCTATCCTTGCCCTATATTATACGTACTGTATGTGAATGCAAGCTGATAAATTGATAATACATTGCATTAGAGAAAATATAACTATGTGATTCACTTTGATTAACTGCATTTTACTTTTATGTTTTCACATCAATCATTTAAATCAATTCTTCCATATTTTCCCGTTCAACACTTGTAGGAGTCATGCAAGTGAAAGTGTTTATTTTCACATTATGATGATGTCATCATCATTATTTTTTGCTGTACATCTACATATTTACATCGACATCTATACTTTACAATAAAATGAATTTCAAAAATTAAGTTCTGAAGTGTCTCTGTTTCGAGTAACCCTCATTGCTGTTTCTAGGTAATGTTGTAAAAGCAGCACCTATGTCACCACTTTTGAATTGAAAGTGTATTCTTGCTCTTGAATTGCACAATCACTGACTGAATGTGAACCAAAAAGAGGAACATGGAGTTTATTGTCATATATGACAACTTTTCCTCCACAGCACACTTCAGCACAAGACGTAACCACCATTGTTCAGGGTAAGTTGCCTAAAATTTAGTGTAATTGCTCGCCATATTTTGGGGTGACCCACTTAATTGTTCTCCATATTGAAATGTTTATTTATTAATACACAAAATTGCTTTTTAAAATCCAAAATTCTGAAGGGTTGTAGACATTTGCTTTGTCTTCATTACATGTTGCCAATTTTAGTTTTGTGCCATGTTTCTCAGAAAACCTACAATGGAGTCCAACTCCACAGTGAGCGGCGGACATGTGGACGACAGCAGTGATGTGGTGTATCTTTGTGATGAGACGTTTGACTTCAACACTTTCAGTGGTGCCTTCTTCATTTTGATCTTCATCTTCAGTATCGCAGGCAACTGTCTTCTCCTACTTGTTCTCGCCACCCACGAGAACCTGAAAGATGTCACAAATCTTTTCATCCTGAACCTGGCCGGCTCTGATTTAATCTTTAGTTTTACGCTCCCATTCTGGGCCGTCTATTACCTGCACCACTGGGTCTTTGGTGAGTTTACCTGCAAACTGATTACTGCGGTATACATTGTTGGTTTCTACAGTAGCACCATTCTACTGACTGCCATGACTGTGGATCGTTTCATAATATTGGTGCTGCACAACTGGCCAAGCAACTCTGTAAAGAGGCAGAGGTTTGCAATGGTAGCCTGTGTAGCTTCCTGGGTCATCGGCACTGCTGCATCCTTGAGAGATGCTTTCAAAGTGAAGGTGGAATACTCTGACGGTATTTCCAGTTGTGAGGATCCCTCCGATGACCATGATATCAACCTGGGCTATTATCTCCAGGTGTCACTGCTCTTCTTCCTCCCATTGGCCATCATTGTTTTCTGCTATTCTGCCATCCTCAAGACAGTTTTGCAGGCTTCAAACAGAAAAAGGTACAGGACTGTAGTGGTGGTGTTATGCATTGTTGCAGCGTTCTTCATCTGCTGGGGACCTTTCAATATTTTGCTTTTCATCATGTCTTTTTATGAACCCAAAGACTGCGATACAAGGGAACGCTTGGAGATTGCCTATTCTATTTGCCGTATACTTGCCTATTCTCACTGCTGTATGAACCCTCTGCTGCTTATGCACTCACAAGAGTTGCGAAGACATCTTTTGGATCTTTTATGCTGTAAGAAGGCCAAGAAGAAGAACAGGGAAATAGACATTGGCCAGAGCGCTTCTGTTTATCAGAATGTACATTTTGTAGCACAAAACTCTGCTGTAACGTTTGAACTACACTCCGAATAGACTTTTTAACTGCCATAAATATTATTTATGTCATTATTTAATATGCTTGTGTATATATTATTATTTGTACAGCTTGTTTTTATGAATATGGATTTTTGTTTGTTTTATATGTGATAGGAACTATTGTTTGAAGTCGATATACTCCGCGCAAAGTGTTAAAGTTAATGTTAAAGTGATCATCTTTGAAGATTCATGTGTTTTCAAGTGGACTCATTTCCCTCTCGGTTGCGAGGTACGTTGTTCATGTACATTTGTCATCGTGCATATTTGTGTGCAAACTGTTTTTGTGTAATGTTAACGCCAGATTATTTTGTATGTCGAACTAAGGTGTCGTGTATTTCCTGGGGTGAGTGATATGGTATATGTAAATATTTCATAAATGTGCCAAGAAAATTATGATATTTGTAAAAAATAAAATAAAAAAAATGCTTTCACTGGAATATGTTTGAATAAATTTAAGTTGTAATCTATTGGTCTGTTTTCACTTTTGCTTTCCACCTATTGCAGTGACGTGTCATGCAAGTACTTCACTCTGGCAGTATCATATCAACTATATATGATGCAAATATTACAATTACTGAGAAGAACAGTGAGCATTGAGGTGTCTGCTGTTATCTAAATTGACAATGAATATGTCGTCATGTATTTTATTTGCTGAAAACAATTAAAAATAATCCTCCTCTTCCTCAAGCACGCTGTGGGTTGGAGAAATGTTTTGTTTTTCCATTTCAGCTCGGCCCTGTTTTTTTACATTTAAAATACTGTTTATTATATTGTTATGTAACAGCTAGTCCATATCTTTTGACCTTTATAACATATCCTCGGTTTCCCACTACATTTTCCATAAAAAATGTTTTAGACTGCATTACATACAGGATATGTGTTCATTAATGCATTACTTCATAGAGAAATGTGCACAACTGTTAAATACTGTATTTTAAGTATGAACTAAGTTGAAGATACAACGTTTGAAAATAAACCTAGTTTAGCTTAATGAAACGTTAGAATCATTTTACAGATCTTATCTCAGGCATCTAAAAACGAAACCCCTTCAAAAACCCATCGACTTTGAGACAGGGGAACAGGAAGTGCTAACATGCTAACTCATCTCCTGGTTTAGGACTTACTTCTGCAGCACTTTATGAAGGACTGCCCTAAAGACTTGAATTGGCTCTGCTACAGTTTTTTTTTTTTTTACTCTAAACCTAGTTTTAGCAACAATACCATGTCAAAACCAATAGAATCTAATTGACTGACCTGTGACTCTATAGTCCAGGTGCAGTGACGCTGCATCAATGTCTGCCCTCATCCCTTCTCTTCTGTCAGCGATCTCCAACAAGGAAAAGCTACACCAATGTGCATTTGTGTTCGTCCTCGCCATCGATTCTTCCAATGAACGCTGAGTTTCTGTTTAATTCCACCATACTCCCAGCCGCGGCTCCATTGCTATGGACTCTTCCCCTTACTGGCCTTTGAAGGCCCCACAGACACCAGACACCACAACTCTGGTATGTTGCGACATACGGAGAGCTTTCTCTGCCAGCGATAGACTTAACCAGCATTATGTGGACTTGTTTGACAAGGGCTTCAATGTAACCGACATTCATATAGGCCTATATGTAAACCCACAAACAAATGTAGTTAGCTAGTCATGTGCTATTGCATGGTTTTGGAAATAACTCAGGGTAGGTTCCCACTGTAAGTAGCCGATTAAGCTTTTTAGCAGGACAAGCTAATGATTGCAGCCAAAAAAAAAAGGAATTTAGCAAACAGTCACTTAGAATAACAGTTACAGAGAGCAGGCAGAAATGAAAATACCGATGAATTGGGTGAATTCCTGTTGTAGGTTGCATTATAGGTAAACAAACTGGCACATAGTGAAAGACAACACAGAAAGAAGTCACAGAGATATGTTGTGGTTATTGCAATATTGGCTTGCAAGAAAGAGGAAGCGGTTTGAATATTGATCTATTACACACAAGTTGCTTATTATTCCTCATTCATTTATGTTAATATCTGTGTTTTTGTGACTAAAAAGAAAAGATTAGATCTTAAAAAGTGAAATAAATTGATTCCCAGGACATTGCTTTTTGTTTGCAAAGTGTATGTTCTTGCTTACAAAGTGTATGTCACACAGTATTACCTGCATATCAGATGTTGTGTTTCTGTCCACACCTGTTTCGTCTCTGTCTTCATTATGTGCAAGCACCAATTAACCAGGCAATGTTCCTTGTGCGCCCACTTTAACAGCAAATAAAGCATTTCTATACCTGCAGTTTATTCCCTCTTCTTCTCTTTTTTTACACTTCGGCCCTGCCAATATGTTACGGAAATGTTTCCCTCTGGAGTGACCTTGTCTATGTGACACAGAATAAACAAATTAGCTCTCAGCAGCAGGGTCAATAAAATATAACAGACTGCATATTTGTGATTAAAATCATAGCCAGTCAAGTATGTCTAACTCAACAGTCCATGTGCTTTTGGTTGCGTTTCTTTTAAATGATGTGTGCCATAAATTCCAATGGTTTAAGTAATTTAACTCTATTATTTCACAAGCATTTTTTTGTTCCTCTTCTGTGGTCCAATTTTTTTTAAAACTCTGTTATATGTAATGTGTTTCTCCAGAGCCCTGTCAGTATACTTGAACATGGTTGAGTAGCACAGGCCTGATGGCTCCACGGGGGGTCCGCAAAAGAGTGTATAGGGACAGCTCAGTGGGCCACTGTAACAGCACTCGTATCTGTCTCCAGGGGTAGATTAAGCTTAATTAACTAAACCATCCAGCACGCTTGGATGAATGGATACAAGTCAAGGGCAGAGCAGTCACTGGTGTGCTCACACATTCTCTGGCAGGCATCGGGAGAGGATTTTGTACCAAATATTATCATATTATATGGAAGTGTGTGCAATAAAAGAAAGAAATTGGATACTGTAATAAAGCTGTGTGTACAAGTCACTAATAATACCCTGTATTAAGTCTCTATGCAGTCAAAATACAGTGACGTCTGAATAGAGACGATTCAAACCTGCATTGCACGATGCAGTTTGGGGAACAGCCTTCTTGCAATCTTGCATCAGTTCCTCATGTTACAACAATTTGAATTTGAGAGTTTGCTTTTTGGACTTCAAAGCATTTCTGAGAAGTGATCAAACCTCCGATAGATCCCATCTTACCTTGCTGTGGAGCGTCAGCTGGAGGGAAAAGGACTCAAAATGTGTTTTTTGGGGGATTTGTGTTTTTTAATATGCAAAGTTTATTATAAGAATTAATAACATCAAAAACCATAGAGGAAAAAAAAAAACTAGAGCAACACAGAAAAAAACCCACCAGATGGAGATAAAATAGAAAAGGCAATCTAAGGCATCCTACTTCATATCTTCGAGTCAGTACAATCTCTTTTCCCGGATCATTTTCTTCGCAAATGATGTTGTTGTTCCATCCTGTTTTTAGCCACAAGCTAAACAGCTGTTGTTGTTTTCTTATGTAGTCTCTGCTACTAGCTCTCCCTGGCCCTGACGTTCACTCCCCTGCTCTTCATTTCTCCAGGGCACCTCACCCTCCTTCTTTCACATCGATATCTCCCCTTTAATTCCAGTTATCTATAACGATAATTACTCCAACCATATGTGAATTTAATTGATGCCTTGAAATTGTGAAAATGTGTACGTGTATTTTGTACATATTGCTAATAAAGTCTTATTGCCCGTTAATCTGGACTGTCAGGAAAATACGTGCAAATCGATTAAGTGTGTCAGCCTTATCGTTACAAACAACTGTTTTCGTGAACAAATATGGATGACTTAATCCTCGTACGACATACACTGGGATGTATGACATTTCGCTAATGCACCTCATCCTGATTGAATTTGTCATGGGAATAAAATGTTTGAAAAAAGGATTAGATTTACTGTTTAACTCACACCGAACAAACACGTCTTTACTTTGAACAGTTATAAATTCAGCAGGGTGACATGTTTTGCAGTACATTCTTAAAAGATTTAAAAAAAGAAATACCCTATACCTCTCATGCTGCGTCTTGGCCTTATTTTGCCAATGCAGTGCTACATATCTCCACTAGAGGGGACAAGGGCATTGTCATAATGCTGTTTGTTTCATTATTACTGGACCACGTATTTGATAACAAGCTGAAGCCTCAAAGAATTAAGACAGAGATGTACTCTCTTACAGCCTGACAACAAAAATCATCACCAGTGGTCCCTAAACAGCTGCACTGCATTGAATACATTTTCATTATTATTATTATTTATTTTTTGAGTCATCAACTTTTTTGGCTGCATGAGTTTTCAAACACAAACGTTATCCACAAAGAACAAATGCAGTCTGTCTCTGCATTTCCGACACCATCATACCTCTATATTTTAGGGTCGCTCTCCTCGACTTACCTGCTGTTGTCAGATAGAAAAAACACAGTGATTAACTATGAAGGAGACTTAATTAACAAATCAAACATCTGGATATTCAGACTAAACCTACTGCAAAGGCTTAGCTGCCTCTTGTACGACTGGCCATTTGATGTATCAAACAATGCGTCCTGATGTTTCTTGCTAAATTTTTCCCATCTGGCTGTTTTCGTATCTTACCTTGTTTTTTCTTTTCTCGCTTTAAAACTTTCATTTTTACTTTTTCCCGTTTACGGGTATGTATCTTTTTTTGCTACTTTGTGGCATTGTGGACAATGACTGGAGAAGGACAGGGCCCTTGAGACAACATGACATTACACTGGAAACATGACATGGGAATAAACCTAAAATGTATGTTGCAAACAATTATACATAGGGCCTCAAATAAGAGGGAATAGCTGTGTTCCCTTGGTATTTTATTTCATTTTATTATGTTTTACTGTCACATCAGATGTTATGTTTCCACATTGGTCAAGGAATTACTAACAGTTAGACGTTGGTGAAGGTTTATGAGAAACCATTATGCAGGGTCAAATTGCTGAAATCGCTTAATTATGACAATTTACATTTTCACAATA